CAAGTATAGATGATATCTGACAGTGATTAAAATCACTATCATAAGAAACGCTTCGATGCAAATCTGTAGATAGTGTTTCCTTTAGAGAAATTGGTGAAATATTTTAAAAGCAACATGAACTCTTATTTCTTTAATTATATCCTGATTAGTAATTCTTTGATTTTAAAATATAATATATGAATAAATACTAATTATAGTTTTTAAATTCAGTATGAAATTATGAGCCCAGCTATGATGTATGGTTGTTAGTGTTATATAGTGTTGGGCGGTTGATAAGAAAGTAGAGCAGAGAATAAGTGTAGCAGAGATGAGAATGCTTAGTTGGATGAGTGGAGTGACTAGAGAAGATAGGATAAGGAACGAGCATATAAGAGGAAGTATAGGTGTTGCGTNTAATAAGAGGAAGTATAGGTGTTGATGGAGGGATGCTATTGAATGCGATTTGAGGACAGCTGATGTGAGCGTAGAAGATGTGGGAGATCGTGTCAAGTGGAAGCTTAGGATAAGGGTGGCCGACCCCAAGTAGTTGGGATTAAGGCAAAGAAAAAGAAAAATAATTCCGGTGGCAATTGACATAATATAATTGTTGTTTCGGAATGTACAATTTAGCGTTTAGTTGGGTTTAAATAATATAGCGTCAAATCAATTACTTACTCTATCGGTTGTATCTTATTATACACTACACTTTAATGATACTATAAATAAATAAACTTACACATACACACATATGCATTTATAACATTGTGTCTAANTTCCCTCCTGATTTATGTTGGTGGTAGAAAAATAATTTTGCTCGTTTTTTCTTTTTTAGATTCTTTAATATTTTCTTTTTTAAATTTGCAATTGTTTTAAAAACATGATACAAAATACTATTAATAATAATATTGATTTAAAATTATATTTTATTTTTCTAAAGATAAATTTTTGATTTATTAACTTTTAGAGCATTAAATCTTTTTATAAAATGTGTATTGTCTATTTTATACATATATTAAGTGATATTCAAAATCACTTTATAATTATGTGATTTTGAATAGCACAACGACTGACCATGGTACAAAGGTACTTTGATATTTAGACAGAATTTCCATATACATATTTTGATAAAAATACAAGCTGTTTACGATTAAACAGATAGAACATGTATAATTTTATTGCACCCATCGTATCTTATCTTTCAAAATGAACGTTTATTAAAAGACATACTCTTATACTAAACGATAGTTAATAATATACATTGACGAAAAACCGACCTGGATATTTTTCTTAATAACTACCATAAAAAATAATTTGTGAGCTATCATAACCTATTATTGTCACCACAGTGGAATCAAAAATACCGTTTGCACTGCCACCGATTTTATGAAACGTAATATATAACAATATTTATTCTTGAAGTCAAAATCTTTAAACAATTATCAAACATAAACTGTTGTTCGGATAAAAAAAATTATAAGAACAAAATTATTTGTAATTTTTTTTTTTCTATCATATTATCAAATCAAAAATAG